CCTGAGTAGCTAGGATTACAGGTATGAATCAGAGGCATCTGACTTTGCCTAGGAATTTGAGAGGAGTCCACAAGTTTTCCCTTACTAAACCCTGAGCAGGAATGGGTTGGTAGGATTGTAAGAAGCAGAATGTTGGATGCTAGGATTGAGACCCTCAGAGTTAGATGTCTTAGATTCTGGTGAGGGGCCACAGAACCTCTAGCTATGTCAGCTAAGGAGTTGCAGGGTTCATCCACTAAAGATATATACTGTCTTCTCAGAAACTCCTGTATTGTATCATTCCCTTCCTTTGCGCCCATGTACATGCACACACACACACATACACAGTCTGCTGCCTAGAGATTTTAGTCCAATAATGTACTACTGTAAGACAGGGTCTGGCTGCTCCCTTTCAGAAGGGAGCTGAGGATCTCCAAGATAAAGGCTTTCTCAAAGGGGCTAGAGCTAATAACCCTTGGCCAAGAATTTCTCTCTTTTTTTTGGTGTCAGTCCTGAGGCTTGAACTCAGGGCCTGGGCACTGTCCCTGGTTGTTGTTTTCTCAAAACTAGTGATCTACCACTTAAGCCACTCCTTCACTTTTGACCTTTTAGGGGTTAATTGAGATGAGTCTCCCCAACTTTTCTGCCAGGGATTGGCTTTGATCCTCAGCTCTCAGCCTTCTGAGTGGCTAAGATTTCAGGGCCACTGGCACCTTGCAAAGGATTTTTCTTCACTTTCAGATGAGAAGGTACCCCCTCCCTCTTCCACCTCTCCCAACTCCCCACTCCCCAGCACTAAGGCTTGAACTCAGGAACTCCTTGTGCTCTTGCATGGCTTTTTCTGCTAAAGGCTGGCATTCTGCCACTTGAGCTACAAGCTCCACTTCTGGCTTTTTGCTGGCTAATTGGAGATAAGGGCTTCCTGGACTTTTCTCTCCAGGCTGGCTTTGAACTTTGATCCTCAGATCCCAGCCTCCTCAGGAGCTAGGATTCTCACCCTATTGAAGATCAGAGTCTGCCTTGTGAATCCCTCTCCATGTTAGAGGACAGACTTCTGTTTCTCTGCTGCTGCTGCGTTCTACCTGAATTCCTTCCTATTCCTAGAAATAATTGGTGCCTAGTTGCCTCTGTCTTCTAACTACTCCTAGGTATTCATAAGCCAACTTTATCTCTCCCCTTTGCTCAGATTTTCCTGCTGAGGGTTGTCTTTTTCTCTGTCCTGTGCTGCATAGATATAAGGGAGAGAGCAGGAATGGAGTAGAAGTTGGGGGTTATGAGGAGTCAGCCTTCCAGCCTCTGGCCCAGTGCTCCCTCCCACCACTGGGAGGTCAGCCATTGCCCTAAGCCCTGGTCTCTGGCTGTTTCTCTATACTGGTGATAAATCCTGTCTTTGTCTCTCCGCTGACCCAGGCCCCTGGCAGCCTGGGGGTCAGAGGCTGGGGGGAGGGATCACAGTAGAGGAGGGGGACTTACAAGGAGAGTGGGAAAAGAAGATGAACAGGACCAGCTGGTGGGCAGGCATGGGGGTGGGCGGCGAGGGGTAGGGGGGGGCTCTTGATTATTCTATGGATCTTGGACATTCCAGCGGGCTTGCATTCCAAGTGAGAAAGCCAGGATCTCTGAGATGTGGGAAGGACCTTCAGAATTGGTCTCTGGAGTACCAGGAATTCTGGGATGTGTTTGCAGGGGGGAAGGGGAGGATAGAATGAGGTGCCTCAAGGCAAGAGGCTACTACAAGAAAACAGAGTAACTGCATAGAAATTGCTTTCCCCACATCAGGTCCCTACCATGTGCCATGTGTGTGCACACACACACACACACACACACACACACACACACACACAGATTTATGACCTGTCAGCATGAAGGAGCCGGGAGAGCCAGCCTGCCCCTGGCCTGGCCCCTCCCTCCCGAGCAGTTTTCTCTTGATGTGACTTCCCTGTCTGCACCTCTCCATTTCTTTCTCTCTGCTCCCAGCCTTCCCCTTCTTTGTTTCTCTCGCCTTCCCAGTGTGTTATTCTTTCTGCTAACTCTCTCAGCCTCTTAGTCATTTTTTTTCTCTCATGTTTCTCTTTCTTTCTTCTGATGTCCTCTTTCCCCTTTCCTGCTTCCTTAGTCTGTCCATCTGTCCTGTCTCTGCTACTCTAATCCAGCAATTTTCCTTCCCCTCCACCCCCATTTGAGTTCCACCGTGAACCCTGTTCTGGCCTAAGAGAGACAGGGTGTCAGATAGCAAGGAGAGGGGAAAGAGAAAAAGAAACATCGGGTGGACCCTAGTTTGGATGGGTAGTTTGAACATCACAGTAGTCTTTGCTTTGATGGAGGAAGGTGTGGCCAGAGAAAAGTTCAACTAAGACAGAGAGGAAACAAGGGAGGAGAGAGGTAGAGAGAAGAGACACAGGGCTGGGAAGGTGGCTCAGTGGTAGAGCGCTTGCTTTGCATGCCTGAGGCCCTGGGTTCGATTCCTCAGCACCACATAAGCAAAAAGAAAAAAGCCAGAAGTGGCACTGTGGCTCAAGTGGTAGAGCGTTAGCCTTGAGCTGAAGAGCTGAGGGACAGCGCCCAGGCCCAGAGTTCAGGCCCCACGACCGACCCAAAAAAAAAAAATTGAAAAAAAAAAAAAAGAGAAGAGACACAGAAAGGCAAACATTAAAATGAACAAAGCCAGATCAGGTTTTGGTGTAATCCTAGCTACTCAGGAGGCTGAGATTTGAGGATCACAGTTCGAACCATGAGATTCTTTATCTCAAACTACCCAAGAACCAGAAGTGGGGCTGTGGTTCAAATTGGTAGAGCACTAGCTTTGAGCAAAAAACAGCTCAGGGATAGTGCCCAGGCCTTAAGTTCAAGTCCCAGGATTGGCACACACACAAGAGATAGATAGATAGATAGAGCGCATCCAAGGGCTAGGGTTCCCTGGAAGTGAGTGTGTGGAAGGAGCAGAGGGGTATCTACATGAGACACAGACTCAGAGACAAGCTCTAGAGAACCCTCCAGGGAAACAAAAGGGGTCATGTTCACCACACTGCTACAATCCTGCACTGTTTGTTCTACCCAGAAACTTCTCAGAGGCTCTCTCTCCACTGCCGGCAGTCCTGGTGTGAGTGCTAGTTGTCACCCCCTCAGCCTCCTCAGGGCCACTGCCTCCCTCTCCCCCCTGTTGAGAATGACATCAGCTCTCCATGTCACCGTCCTCAGCCTTGCTGCTGAGCTCTCCCAAGGGTGCAGTCAAGGCCAATCACCATGTTCCTCCTCTAGTCTGGGAAGAAGCAGAGGCTAGCTCCGCTTGCCTAGTTCAGCACCCTGTTGCAGGAGTAGGGCAACTTTTTGCTAGGAAGGTGGCTGGGGGACATAGTGGGAAAAGACGGGTATGGGTATGGGCACCACAGGGAGGGAGAGCAAGGACCCTGAGGGGGGCTCTTGAGGAGGAGAGGCTGAGGTAGTAAATCACGCTGGGGGGGGCTCCCTCTGCCTTAGCTCAGTGGGATAGGGAAAGAGAGACTTTTTTTTTATGGAGGGGGGGCCATGTAGAGAACTGCCACATCTGGCAGGCAGGTGTCTGGCACTGTTCAGGCTGCAGTCACTTTCCCAGCCAAAGAGGAAGGGAGAGAGGGGGAGGAGCGACCCCTTAGGGTCCCTTGGGGGAGAGGGAAATGCTCACAAACAGAAAGACAGAGGCCCACAAGCAGACAGAAAGTGACCAGGGAGGGAGAGGGGACTGGGTAGGCCTAGAACACCGTTGTCCCAGTCCTAGTGGGAAACAATGTAGAAAGAAACTGAAGCTCAGAGAATTCCACATTTGAGAACTAGAAGCCCACTCTCCACACCAGCCCCCAACACCGCTCCCCCACCCACACCAACAGCAGCCCGCCCTCCCCAGTGCCATGACAGGTGATGAATGCCACGCCAGATGCTAGGTGAGGCGATGCTGGTTGAGAGGCTGAGGCTGGTGTTGTATTGCTGCAGTTCAGGCAAAAACAAGGGATCCTAGGCCTTGATCCACCCCTGTACTCCAGCTTTCAACTTGAGGCTTTAGGCAAGGCAAGCTCTATCTCTTCCATCTGCTGTAAGGGATCCAGGGCCTAGACAATTTCTGGGCCTAATTTGCTACGTTTCTATGGAGGATCACACGAGACTGGCTAGCCACCTCTAGACTTCACACCCTGCTGTTGGAGAGGGCTCACCCATTTCTGTACTTTCTTCCCTTCATCTTTTTGTATGTACTAATTCCATCTCACATGCATAGTCCTGGAATTACAGACCCATTTCATGAGCAGTAGAGGTGACTGCAGAGACCCTTCAAATCGCCTTGGAGAGGAGGACTCCCCACCCCACCCCCCCTAAAATCCTGCAGAGGAAAGAGGAAGGGGGAAAGAAAACCAAAGCATTCTCCTGTCGCCGCAGCAACCATAAAAACCCCTAGCTAAATCCATCTTGTGAGCTCACCGCCCCATTAAGATGCAGGGCCAGGCTCTGCGCCAGCCAGCTACATTCATTTGTGCGAATAAAGGTGGAGGAGGGGGAAGGGAGCCGGCTCTGGAGGGACGGGGAAATGGCGAGAAGAGGTTATTTACACCACCGTCCTGACCTTCTGGAGCAGAGCTGGCTCCGATAAATAACCCGCTCAGCGCCGTTTCAGAGCAGGAGTGGGAGGTTCAGGAAGGGAGCAGGGGCTGGAGGAGAGCCCCCGCGCAGGTGCGCGTCTCCGGGTTACTAATGGCTGAGGCGGGAGCAGGCAGCTGGCTTTGGGGGTGGTGGTGGGGAGAACTCAGTTCCCTGAGACTCCCACTGAGAAAATACCATCCCCACCCCACCCCTGGCGCCAATTTCCAGGCGAGGGGACGGAGAGATGCCAAGGAGGCAAACAGTTCCGTAAATTAGGGATGGGGGAGGGGGTTGCTGGCGAGTCTCTGAGGTAGGAGGGGGGAAGACATATTATAAGAGGGGGTGGGTGGGTGGAGGAATAGGAATAGCTGCCAAAAAGAGGAAGGGGAACAGAAAAAAAAATCACACAAAGGCAGTTTGGAAAAGAAAAGTCCGTTTTATTCTTCTTTGCATGGAGCAGTATAGGAAGGGGTAAGTCTCCTGCACCAGATGCCCCCTTGATATGCTCAGTTGTTTGCTCCACCTCAGAGTTGGAGAACTGGCAGTTAGTGGGTGGGGCAGAAGTCTCAGGAAGGCTTTTCTAGGACATTTTGGTAGGGAAGGAGTTCAGGGTCAAGGGGAGTGGTTGTACTTCCACCTTCCTGGGGAAATGGAGGTCCCCAAGCAAAGGTACTGCCTAAGCCACCTGAGGGAAAGAGCTCAAACACTCAGCTTTTCCGTGGGGTGGAGGGAAAGAGCACAGGGTTAAGTGGCAGATGATGGACCAAGGCAGAGGAGCAAATGTGGCATGGGAGAGGTGAGGGGACCGAGAGCTACAAGGCCCAAGTCACCTAGACCTGGCCTTTCCTTCCCTTCCGTCCCTGGTTCTGAGCAGAAACTCTTCCCCAAACTAGAATGTATTTTAGTTCCAGGAGCTGTCATTGCTCCAGGGCACAGAGAGGACAAGTCAGGCCAGGAGCTGCCAGTAGTAAAGGCCAAGGAAAGGTACTAAGTCCTGGGCACACCTAAAATGACCTCTCCCAGGTCACTGCAGTTTGTAAGCCCTATCCAATAATGTCTTAGTTTCCACCATTTTGTCCTCTCCCCTATAAGCTGTTCCCAGACTCTTTTCCACAGCAGAAGAAGGGCAGCTAGAAGAAATGGGAGAAGACACAGAGGCCAGGAAGTGAGCCAAGGCTGAGACTGGATGCACAGCCCTCCCTCCCCCAAGTATCCTCCAGCCCTGGTTGGACATATGGACTAAAGGGAGGAAACACTCAGCACATTCTTTCCCTGCTTTGATCTGCAGTGCAGCCATAGCAAAGGGCAGAGAAGCTGAGGGGAGAATGTGGGGGTAGGAGAGCATGGAGCAGAATCCCTGTCTGAGCAGGAAAAGGGTGCTTCCTTTGCCCTGCATCCAAATGGGCTAGGAATTTCACTTCCAGAGGAAAGGAGGAGGAGGAATGGGAAGGTGTTGGGAAGGGCAACCCCAGACAGGATGAAGGTTTAAGGATCCCTTGTGCCCCCCTGAGATGATCCTGAGAGCAGCAGTTGGGGACTGGATGAGAAGTCACAGCAGACATGCAGATTTCTGGTAGGGGTGATAAGCCAGGCACGTGGTGTCTTCACCGAAGGAGGGACCACTTGATCTGTTCTTTTGCTGACTGTAGCACCTGCAGAAACAAGGGCAGCACTAAGGGAGGCTTTCAAGGAGTAAGGTGGGAACTAGGGGGAGGGGTGGGGGTGGGGGCTCTCCTTCCCTTCACTTGCCTTCCCTCTCCTTAGAAGAACAGGGAATAGAAAATCCCCATAGGTAGTAGAATAGGAAGAAGCTCTCTAAAGCCCTAGAGGATTGTCAGTTTGGAAAATTCCCCCCAAATTCAAATCCACAGGGGGAATGAAGAGAGAAGAGGTATGCCTGAGAGGAAAGAAAAAAAAAACAAAAAAACTGGGGGTTCAAGAGAAGGAGTTATACATCCAGATGCTCTTCTTGGTGAGGATTCTAAGCCATTTAAAACCAGAACCCCTCCTTGGCTCTCCACATCAGGTAGACAGTCTATCTGCAGTCAAGGCAGCAGGATGGATCTGCAAAACCTGCATATGCTAGAATATGCACTTCCAGCTTAGTCCTCATTTGAATAATAAGAGAAAGAGAGAGAGAGAGAGTGCTCACATGCACACAGACCATCTGCTTAAGGCAAGCCTCTGCTGGGGAATAAATCATGGAAGGAGACATCAGGCAGGGAGGGTTTGAAGGGTATAGAGGAAAGCTGACAGCCATGGCTCACAGGAAGCTGAGAGAGGAGTAGGGAGTTAAGGCACCAGGCTATTTGAGATTCACTTCCCTGCAATAAGAGGGAACCAAGGAGGACAATTCCATCTGTGGCCTCTTTCAGAATTGGTGGGTTGGGGTAGTCTCTGCAGTGACCCTGCCCTTCTGGAGAGGAAGAAGGGAGAAAGTCATACCTGAGACACAGTCTGCTCCGTAAGAGGGACATCTTCACCCTGTAGAACAGATTGCAAGCACTTAAACTGCAGTCTAGAAGTAGGGAAGAAAGGGTTGGCCCTTTAAACTGAAGCAAACTTCTCAGTCCCTAAAAGGGACTCAGCCACAGTTTTACTCAGCCAGAGGGATTGAGAACACACAAAAGGGTCATTTCATTCATCCTCCATTTTAAGACAGGAGGACTTCTTAAAAGATTTATTCCTTCCCAGTAAGAAGCAGATTATCTGATCCTCAACTCCCTCAATTTGGGGGTGGGGGACATGATTTCCTAGTCAGAGAAGACCTTCCCTGAATATCAATATCACTGGGGAAAGGATGAGGGGGAGCCAGGGGTAGTTTAATGGATCCTGCAAGGCCTGATGGGTAATGACAGAATGTTAATTTGAAGAAATAAACTGCTGCAACAGCAGCCTGAGAAGGGGACAAGTGGGGGGGGAAGCTAGTAGTGGGGGGGGACCCTCTCTCTTGCCACATAGAGACATATGTTAGAGGAGAAGATTAAACTATGCAAATGCAGCCACGGCAGTTAAGGGAGAAGATTTCCCATTACTAGGCACTGTAAGCCTTTACTCTGTGGAGGTCAGAGCCAGGACATTCTGTGAATGGGGAGATCTGCACCCCACAATTTGCAGGTGGCCCTCTTTCTGCATTCACCATGATCTTCCAGCAGACTCTGAGCCTTCTGGAATTAATTCAAAGGCTCCTTTCTGGTTATCACTAGCGCAGGAATATTGAGGTACTGGCAAGTAAGTATTTCCTGATGGATTACATAACATTTTAAAAGATAGAAAAGCCAGGCACTGGTGGCTCACACCTGTAATTCTAGCTACTTAGTTGTCTTTGATCTAAGGGTTGTGGTTTGAAGCCAGCCCAGACAGCAAAGTCTGGGAAAAAGATGGAAGTGAATCAAGTAGTACAGTACCAGCCTTGAGTAAAAAAGCCAAGACATATCAGCAGATCTAGCTCTGGAGGACACTTGAGGATTTAGACAGGGGATGCAGGAAGGTGCATTTGCACTTACCCTTAGAGCCACTCTGTGTACCACTTGCTGAGGATCATTCTCTAGGATGACCCTACAAAGACAATGAAGAGATGACTGTTCACTCTGTCTTGGCGATCAACTTACCGTGGGGACAGGCTCTCTGACCACTCATGCCCACTTTGCTTAGGTCACAGACAGCAACTCTACCTCCCCACTCCAGATCCAGGGTAGCGAACTCACCCTCCATCTACGATTTCATCCACAGCCAAGAAGAGCCCCTCCATGTTCTCCAGCAGAGCTCGCTTTTCTACATTCTTCCTGAACCCCAAAAAGATGAGAAAAATCAGCCTCTGTGTGAAAAGAATCCTAGGACACTGTCTAGATAGGGGACTCTAAATTAGGCAATAAATGTCTCCACCATGACTAATGTGGAGAAGTTTTTAGCTAATCTACTCTAAACCTTTTCCCATTCTTGTTTGCTGAGTAAGGATTAGGAATGCCAGGAAAAGAGGTCAGTGGTTAAAGTGCTTGCCTAGCATGCCCAAGTTCGATCCCCAATACAAAAAAAGAAAGAGATTCAGTCAATTTCTGACTATTCACAGATTTGATTATCCAGAGTTATTGTTTCTTTCCTACCTCTGATGCTTCATGACACTGTTCACAAACACAGACATTTGTGGGTGGAATAAAGAAAACAGAACTAAAATTCCATCTGATGGTTGCAGGATGTGGGAAAGGATTACATGTAAACTCTGTCTGCACTCAGATGCTGACCTTCCTAAGTCCCTGCTACCCCTTCTCTCCCTCCTCTTTCCCCACCAGTTTTGCTCGAGCCCGGAAAAGAAGCCCAACAAGGGAGCTAGAAACAGTCAGGGTCCCCATCTTCCAGCCACAGGTGGTAGGTGCATGTGGCCTGTCACATTCATTAGTTTGACTCTTTCATTAGATTACCTGAAATTAAGCCTACTCATTCACCTGGCTAAGAAATAAATCATCCCCCTTCCTGAAGAAACCTGAGCCTTTACCCTGCTGGTTTTGTGGGGCTGAGAGTGCCTGCTGTTCTGCTCCTCTGCTCCGGATAGTTGTCTGAACTAGGTTCACTTGGAAGCTGCTGTGGGGGGATGAAGTTCAAAGCCCTGGGTGTTTTCAGGAAAAGTATCTTATATCTCTTTTCTTGCCCTATATACATGGGAATAGAGGGCTGGGGAGGAGTGAAAAAAGTGGAGAAAAGCAAATGGCACATCTTCCTTTTCCACAGAAGGGAAGCTTAACAGCCAGAAAAGGAACATTAGAGGTGGTGCCTCCAACGTCAAGGTACACATTTCATTTCTTTTCTTTTTTTGGCAGTTGTGGCCTGGGTGCTGTCCCTCAGTTCTTCAGCTCAAGGCTAGCGCTCTACCACTTGAACCACACCACCACTTCTGGTTTTCTGGTGGTTTATTGGAGATAAGAGTCTCACAGACTTTTCCTGCCTGGGCTGGCTTTGAACCGTGATTCTCAGATCTCAGCCTCCTGATTAGCTAGGACTACAAGCATGAGTCACCAGTGCCCAGCTTCAAGGTACACATTTCATCTGGGCCACATCCTTGTGTTTGTCCTTTCCCTTCTTCTAATGCAAAGAATGAAGCTAGAAATCACCTAGAGAGAGGGTGCTTAAAACTCTAACAAGTTGCTGGGGATGGCAACAGGAGACACAGTGGGCTACTGTTCCTCCTAGGAAATCTCATTCCTGAGTAGAGTTTTTCGACTTGAGGAACATGTTCTCCTTCTAGTTCTCCCTCTCAGTGTGAAGTCCTCTGAAATAGTAAGCCCAATTTTTTTCTTTGTTAGTCTTGGGGTTTGAATTCAGGGTCTGGGCCCTGTCCCTGAGCTTTTGTGTTCAAGGCCAGTGCCCTACCATTTGAGCCACAGCTCCATTTATAGCTTTCTTTTTTTTTTTTTTTTAATGTTTAATTGGAGGTAAGAGTCTCTTGGTAGCTGGGAGCTAATGGTTCATGACTATAATCCTAGCTACAGAAGGCTAAGATCTGAGGATCATGATTTGGAGCCAGCCCAGGCAGGAAAGTCCGTGAAACTTGTCTTGGGTCCCGAACTCTAGGCTTGGATGCTGTTCCTCAGCTCTTCAGCTCAAGGGTAGGGCTCTATCACTTGAGCCACAGCGCCACTTCTGCTTTTTCTGTTTGTGTGGTGCTAAGGAATCGAACCCAGGGCCTCATGCATGCAAGGCAAGCTCTACCACGGAGCCACCTTCCCAGGCCCTGTGAAATTCTAATCTCCAATAAACCACTTAAAAAGGCCAAAGTGGCACTGTGGCCCAAGTTGTAGAGCACTCACTCACCTTGAGCAAAAGAAGCTAAGGGACAGCACCCAGACTCAGAGTTCAAGCCTCAGGTTGTGGGGGGGGGGCTGATGGGAGGGCGAATCTCATGGACTTTCCTGCCTGGGCTGGTTTCAAACTGTGATTCTCAGATCTCAGACTCCTGAATAGCTAGGATTATAAGTGTGAGCCACCAGCATCTGGGTCCAACTTCTTTTTTTTTTTTTTGGTCCAGTCGTGGAGCCTGAACTCTGGGCCAGGGCGCTGTCCCTCAGCTCTTCAGCTCAAGGCTAGCGCTCTACCACTTGAGCCACAGTGCCACTTCTGGCTTTTTTCTTTTTGCTTATGTGGTACTGAGGAATCGAACCCAGGGCCTCATGCATGCAAGGCAAGTGCTCTACCACTGAGCCACCTTCCCAGCCCATGGGTCCAACTTCTTAACTAAATCAATGCCCTGGAACCTCTGCCAGTCCCTTATAAATCCCTGGACCAAATGAACATTGAGAATGGCTGCTCACCTCAGCATCTGGCTCAGGGAGTCAAATAGGCAATTCAGAACAGCCATAAGCATCAGCTGTTGGGAGAGAGAAAAGACAAAAAGAGAAGGGTCAAGTCCTTGAAAAAAACTACACAAAAACAAATCATACAATTCATAAGCATCAAAACATACAGGTTTTTACAAAGGACCAGAAATACAAGGTAGAAGAGAGCATCTTTTCCTGTTGTTTCTCATGGAGGTGAATTCTGGCTAGACATGGTGGTGCTTATCTGTAATCCCAGCTACTTAGGAGGTAGAGGTAGAAAGATTTTGAGTTTGAGGCTAGCCCAGGCAAAAACTTAGTGAGTCCCTATTTCAGAAACAAACTATGACACAAAATAGTTAAGAGTGTGGTTCAAGTGGTACGGCGTTTGCCTATAGAGAAGAGATCATGTGAAGATCTAATCTCTAATCATGAAAAAAAAGTGAATGAGCCCCCAATTTGAGGTCTCTTTTAGCCAGAAGGTCAAAAAGCATTTGCTGTCATGATCCTCTACATGTCTTTACCAACTATCTATGTGTTATCAAATATCAGGTGGAAAGAGAAATCATTAACCAAGCAACATAAGGTCTGAGAGGCAGCAGAACTACTGGAAAGAGTATGGGCGTTTGTTTGGTTTTTCTTTCGTGTGGTACTGAGGATTGAAACCTAGGACCGTAAGCATGCTAAGTACAGGCTCCACCACTGAACTATACCCAAGCTGGGCATGGACTTTTGAGTCAGATGGATCTGGACTTCAATCTCAGCTGAGCCATTTTCTCCATGTGTGACTTGGAGTTATTAGGCTGAACCCCATGAAACTGCCACTTTTGTAGTTTGACAAAGGTCAAGTACAAGCAATTTCATATGGTTCTTCCTGTTTGGTTTCCTCATTGGTAACACAAAGGCACTACTGCTTACAGCTCACAGAAGTGCTGCTAGATCCACACAATAATGTACTTTACTAAGTACTCAACGCTATACTGAGTGCTCAGCAGGAGGTAGGACTGGCAAACTTACTTTGGCAGAATATTATCGAAGGACTCATTTTTACCAATCCACTCTCACTCAGAGATGTTGCTTTCCCCTAAGGCAAATAGTTATTTCTGCATACAGGAAGTAGATTTGACTACACTTGTAGTCCCATTCATGCTGTTGACTTGGTGAGATAAAGCTTCCAGCTTCAACATGACCCAAAAGACCCATTAATTGCCCTGAATTCATCAGTGAAGCCAATATCTCCCCACAACCTTGACCGCACCTCAGAAATTCACCTTAAAAAAATACTGCAGTTGAGGGGCTGGGAAGGTGGCTCAGTGGTAGAGCGCTTGCCTTGCATGCCTGAGGCCCTGGGTTCGATTCCTCAGCACCACATAAGCAAAAAGAAAAAAGCTGGAAGTGGCGCTGTGGCTCAAGTGGTAGAGCGCTAGCCTTGAGCTGAAGAGCTGAGGGACAGCGCCCAGGCCCAGAGTTCAAGCCCCACGACCGGACCCAAAAAATAAAAATACTGCAGTTGAAAAAGCATTTGACAAGATCTAGTACCCCTTTATGATAAAAGCTCTGGAGAAATGGGGAATCCATGGAACATTCCTCAGTATAATAAAGGCTGTATGTAACAAACCTACAACCAGCATTATACCTAATAGTGAAAAGTTAAAAAGATTTCCTCTAAAATGAGGAATGAGACAAGGATGTCCGCTCTCTCCACTCCTTCCTCAATACAGTACTGGAATTTCTAGCTAGAGCAATAGGACAAGAGACAAACATAAAGGGGATCAAAACAGGGAAAGAAGTAAAACTCTCCCTCTTTGCAGATGATATGATCGTGTATTTAATGAACCCTATAGACTCATCTGCCAAGTTACTTGAGCTGATCTGAAACTCTGGCAAAGTAGCAGGGTATAAAATTAACCCAC